CACTCAAATGAAAGATACTATTGGAAAGGAAGAGAATGAAGAACAAACAAACGATAAACTACTCGAAGAAGAAGACATGTATGAACAAGCTATTAATCCTGAAATTACAATATCAAATATTCAAAGAATGGAAGGTGGTAAAGTAGTTCGTGGGGTGGACTTCTTTTCTTGTACTGTTAATAAATTTTCTCTTGTTTTTGGTGATACAGACGAGAATGTTAGTGTCAAAATAGAGAATTTTAAGTACATTGCGAGTCTTGGGATTATGAATCTTCCCATTGATGTGAAGTGTATTCAACTCAAAACGTGTGTTGCTAGTGTTAATTTCAAATTACAGAATGTGTATGGGTGTGGGTCTCAATATAGTAATGACATTATTTCTTTATCGGGTGTTGTATCTATCAACATCAATAATGGGTTTGATAAAAGTCAACTTCGTTCTGATCAGGTCGACGTTTTGTTGTTCTGTGAAAGTCTTAAACCGAGGAATATGAAGAGGTTTACTGTGACACAAATCAATTCGGTCAATGTGAATGTGTTATACTCATTTGAAGACATTTTCTTCCTTCAAAGAATGGTACACCACTTGACGGATAAAACACTTTTATCATCAATCTTTGAGAGAAACAGTGGACGTTCTGTCCACGAGTTTTTCAATGTGCCAAACATGACGATGAACTTTCAGGAATTAAAAGAAACGTCTCTTTATCCCCATTCGAGACCACTGATTTTTAAAGGGTCTGTGTTTGGACATACAATGATGACATATAACGAAAAGGAAATGGCACGACTTGCTCAGATTGGAATCGATGCATCGTATGAACAATTTAATATATTTGCTCGAGTGAATGTGAACATTGGGAATCAAAAGAAGATAATTGTTCCATTTATATTGTTGAAGGGGGTGAATGATTTGGAAACGGTCTATATGTTGGTCAATCAATTACAAGTCATGAGAGTACTAATCCACCCATACAATCAAAAAACAAATGAACTTCCTCAAAAAGTTGAATGTGACTGGAAAACGTGGTTTGGCAAAGACATGGTGAAGTGTGTTCGAGTTGATGACGTTTTAACACATGAGACTCTCTACGAAACGATTCAACATAACAAAAACAATTTGAAGGTCATAGATGAAACATCAATATTCTTGGGGGAAGGGAAAGGCGCAAGTCCATTTGAGACTCGATTTGTTGAGGTAGAAGTACCATTGATTCATGACGCTCCGATAAATGTTACTCCAATCCAAGAACAAGTCATTGAAAACACCGATGGGCGTATTGAAGTTGAAATCAAATGTATGAATGTGGATGCTGGAATTAGTCAAGAGAACAACGGCGCTATAACTATTATAACACAATTGGCAATGAGTTTCAAATTCAACAAAAATGGTATTGTGTTCAAAATACAACCAAAACAAATCGAAGTCAAATCAACATGTGACACAACCTCTGTTCTTAAAATAACAAATAAAAAAGATCAACAGGAAGTCATTGAAATTAATGGCGGACTCAATTGGACGAAACCAATTGATGGAGCTAATAATGAAATGTATATGACTATATATGCATATCCAAAGAACGCGACTCTTCTTAATGTGAACCTCTCCATGTCCGTTGGAATGCAAATAAAAAAGATGATGGAATTTAAAGTGGAGTGTTTGCCAGACTTCATTAAAAATATTTCACAACCTTTTGTATTCAATGTGGCAAAAATTGAGGTCAAACTCATCCGCACCATTTTCCAAATTAAGGTGTGTAACCTTGACTTATGCTCAACTAAAGAAATAACATTCGAAGAAAAGGAAGTGTGTCTGAAAAACATTGTTGGAGATGCAAAGTATGTGTTCATCTCATTGCTTGCAAAGGTCAAAGACCAAATGCAATTTTATATACTTTTCGAGGAAATGTTATCCAGCGTGTTTGAAAAAAGAGTTTCTGAGATTACAGACATCATCAATAAATACACCAAATTCTGAATCACTTATTGAGCTTGTTTTTTTGATCATTAATTGTTTAAATTAATTTGGATTGACAAATTAATTTCAATCCATTTAAAATTACGAGTAAATTTTCTAATAATTATAATTATTAATAGTAAAGTATTTCTATTTTTAATTCAAAGTGTTTTTTTGCAGTTTATTAAATTTATTAGTTTAATTAATTAACCAACCAACTATATACTTTAACAAAATCATCAACGAAATTAAAAAGTATTTATAACGCCAATGAAATGTATTTACGATTGATTATGGAAGATTCTATAAATCAAAAATATTTTTGTGTTATGAACAAAAGAACTAAAACAATTTAAAATAATATTATTTTCATTCAGGTAATTAAATAATATAAAACATAAATAATAAATTGATATATAGAAAAATAGATAGGTTTTTTGAAATCCAATAATTGTGGAGTAAAACACGGTGTAATTTCAATGAATGAAAAACAAACAATCAGCAACACATGCATACACTAATACAAATAGTATCAAAAAACAAAGTCAAATGAACGAGAAATCCATCCTTTTTTGATCATTTTTTTAAACAAACAAATGTTTGTCCTTTTATTATAGACAAATCTTCCTTTTCTTTTCCAAATTCAACGTGTTGAGCAGTAAGAAGTGACCAAAGAACCCAAGACGCGAATAAAAATGACAAGACCAAAACTTGAAATGCGGGAACTTCATAAAATTTAAAGTATTTATAGAACAAATAAACACATTTGAAAACCCGAGTTTTTCTTGAAAAAGAAAGGAAGTCAGTTGGTCAACCAACTTTGAAAAGGTATCCCGAAGGCGTCCAGTAGAAACGTTCAAACTTGAAAAGTACTTAAAAAGGATCAACGAGTTGAAGAAAAAAAAGAAGAGGAAGAGAAAAAAACTCCTTCTAGAAAAGAGATCTGATGAACTGAAATGGAAAAAGAAGGGCATGGCTCATAAGATCAACGTCTCAGTCGCGTCACTTCAACCGTCGCAGTTTGAAGGGTGGGCCACGAAGCAAGGTGGTTCCTGGAAATCATGGAAACGTCGTTGGTTTGTAATTAAAGACAAAAAGATGTGGTACTTTTCTGGTAAGAATGATACCGAAGCTAAGGGGTGGATTGATTTAACACCAGGGACCGAAGTGAAAGACAAGACAGAACCCGGTCAAAAGAAGAAATTTTCCTTTGCTATTAACTCGCGCGGTGTGAAGGGTGAACGAGAGTTTTTGATCTTTGTCGAATCAGAAACAGACTTGAAAGGGTTTTTAAAGGCCATTAACCAAGTGTTATCTAGTGACAAAAAATCTGCTGGTGCCGCCGCGTCGTCTGTCCCTAAAGTGAATAACGTCATTCCGCCTTCACAACCAGTCTCGCAAGTCCAAGCTCCTCCTCCTTTAACTCAACCTTATGTCCCAGAACAAACACTCGAAGCTCAACCACCTATCCCACAAGTCCCTGTCGATATCCCTCAACCCCCTGTAGTCTCTACAGCTCCTGTTGCATCACCAGTTGTTGCTCAAAAGAGTTGTGCGTTGAATTATCCAAATAACATATCAAAGCGCACTGCATCCGATGGAATTAACATTGCAAAGGACATGTCACAGTGGCTCAAAAATAATCAACCGGAAGGTATTAAGGACTTCTTGAACATCTGGAAAGATTCATTGCCCGTGTCTACTGACATCATTGCAGGCGAGTTTGCAACAATCACACTATGCGTCTCTGCAGATACACACAAGATGTCGTGGAGAGTGAACGGCCCTCAGAGTGGAATGATCCAGAAGATGGTTGACTTCTTCTGGAATGTCGGAGCTCCCGAGAATGAAATTGACCGTTTGAACGACTTAGGAGCGGAGATCAATCCAAATGTCATAGGGTCGTGGATTGATATGAGTCAAGATGGTGGAATGGATGGAGGATGGTTCTTCCCAGTCGACATAGCGCTTGGAACTGCAAAGAGTGCGGGAGATGTTGGAGAAGGGAAAGAAGGGAATAATTCTGCATTAGACGTCTTTGTGAAATGGGCCGAACAACATGGGATTAATATGGTCATTTCTGTTGGAAGAGATATGGGAGCTACTCCACCTCGACAAACCGATTTCAAATTCAAAATTGTTGGACCGAACCAAGTCAAGTTAAGTATTGTTAAAGAAGCCGGTGATGCTTTTGGGTTCCCGAAAATCCCACAAACACTCGAAGATATCATCCTTGGCTTGGATAATTCAATCACAGAAATATCACTTTCCGTCGTTACTTCTACTGACGGATTCGTCAAATTTGGAGTCATTATACCTACTCCGACTGTGTACGCCGTTGCGGATATGCTTCAGATAGTCCCAGAGGCTGACCTCGCTAAACACCAGTTCTACCTCAACTCATTTGGACAACCGAGTGCCATCGAATACGCTTACTTGAACAAGGGATTCGGGTTCGAGGTGTATAAGGAGGGTGTTGATGTCCATGTGTACTACACGCTTGGCGATGTTTCAGCTTAATAATTTTTTAATCGGATTTGGGTTTATCGGTCTTTTTTGATTGCAAAGCACTGTTTTTTGACTTAATGCTTCCGATATTATATTAGTTTCTTTTTTAAAAAAAGTGATAAAAGTATTCAATGAAAAATAACGCAAAATTGGAGTGACTTGTTTGTTGAGAGATGATACTTATTTTTTATAACATGAAATATCCATTTTTAAATTAAAGAATAAATAATAATAGAACAAAAAGGTTTATTTTATTGTAAACTATTAAGTAACTATTGGAAACTACAAAAAAAAGACTCACTGTTACGAATAAGTTGTTCTTTTAAAGTGATCGTGGGAGTGATGCAAGAATTTAAATGGAGATATCACACCAAGACTATACACAGAAAAGTTTGAGTATGGGTAGTGTCAACATTGTACAATATTGGTATCTCATTTTCATTGGTTCTTGTCTTGGAATGAATTTCATATTTAAAACATCTTCAAAAAGGTCTAAAAAAATCAGTAATACGGTTAATGATTACTTCGTTGTATCTTCAACATTTAATGGTACGCCTATGTTTATGGAAAAGGATATCAGTCGCTCAAAAAGTCTTTTAACGGAAAAATTAAAAGAGTTCATTGAAGATAATGCAAAATATTACAATACAAGTCTTGAAGAGTTACAAAAAGAAACAAAAGATATCAAAGTAGAATGCATGAAAATGACAATTGACACTTTAAAAAACATTCAATTTGATTATTTCAAAAAAGAAAAGAGAACGAACCAAATTAAATTAGAACCACATCAAGTTGCTTTAATGAAAAAGTTTAATGAAATTACTAAAAAAAGTAAAGAATAATTAAAATTTGTTGTGTGGAATTTGTTGTACTTTATAGTCAACTAATATGGGTATGATCGATGTCTTTTATTAAACAAGGGTACAAATTGCAATTGTATTTCAATTTATGAAAAAAATGACAATTAATATTAAAAAAAGTATCTTTGTCTTAACATTTTTTAAATATATCAAAAGTAATAACTTTGTTATATTAACTTTCTAATAAATTTTTTATATTTTTAGAAATCCACGTCATCATTTGAATTTTATAAATAAAACAGCAACCTAATATTCATTAATTTAATTATTATTAAATCAAAGAAATAGAACATACATAAATTATTTGAACCCTTTAAAGAACTTTAAAAGAGGTGTGTCCAACGTAGAGCTTTCCTTCTTGTGTTCTGGAATATCCATTCCTTGCACACAGCCAACTGGCTTTTCATTCCAATCGACTTTGGCTGGGTTAATTCGGAACACATCACGAAGTAATAGACAAGTTGTGGTATGGAGTCTCTCAAAGTCTTTAATTGGATAGTTCTGTAATAACTTCAGCGTGTCTTCAAACCTCCCCACAGAGCACTCTACTTCAAGAATCATCGCAGCTAAAAACGCAATTAAATACCTCATTCCTCGCACTTCCACAAACATCCGATCCCACATCTGCATGGTGACTTCCATAGGTAATTCGAGTGCTCCAAGAAGTGATAACCACCTGAACAAATAAAACGTCGGGTCAATCATTTTGTTCACAGTGTCTGCCAACCGACTGTTTTTCTGTTTGACGCACCACATGACTCTTCCCATCGACGCTCTAATTCCAGTTGGTTTGAGATCGTAAGAAGGATCAAACCAATCTCTGATATTCGAGAGTAGCATGCTCATACAGAAAAATGTAGAGACTTCTGCTAATTCCTCACTACACGAGTCCGACGCATCAATAAAAACGTGATAAAACACATTTGCAATGACATTGAGCCCTTGTACATAAGGAATACCCCCTGGCATGTTACTCATGATGTTGAGAATCCGCTTTAAAACAGGGTTGTACTTCGCTTTCTTCTCGCCATCGTTTGTTCTTGCTAAGTCTTTGTCAATGATCTTTGCAAGCTTTTTGTCCCTAAATATGAACTCCTCCTCGTCTTTTGTTGGGTTGGTGTTAATTGTTCTGTTCTCCAATTTGGGGGAGTCTCGTTTCTCAGCGTCTAATTCGATTTGCCCCTCCTCACTCTCTCGAAGCTTTGTCTGGGACTGTTGGGCGGTGCGGATGATCCGAGACATCATAAGTTCTTCAGACTTTGGTGTTGTCCCTGGGGAGACGTCTTGACTGTTCGACCTGACCTTTACTGTATCGTAAAACAACGATCTTTGTTTGCGATATAACTTAATAAATGATTGGTCGGTGTTGACCCAAGTCCTTTGGTCTGGTGAGTAATAGCGGAGTAACAGTTTCCACACTTTTGAACGAAGTTTGTTGTTGTTAGGAACGCCGTTTTTGTAGACGTACAGCCTCAGATGCTGTACATCCACAACAGGGTCTTCCAAAATCTCAAGGAGTTCGATTGTTGGGTTCTGCATTTTCTTATGTGATTTTGAGTTCTTCACCAATTTATCAACATCAACTTTCAAGTGAGAATGTTCTCCTCTGTCTCTCGAGAAAACGACAAATAGGACATTCTTTGGATTTATTCGGGCTTTTTGTGTTTTTAAAGTTGGTCACTTTCCTCTGTCATTGCCAACTATTATAATTAATACTTCCAATAATATATTATTATACTTTTTTATTAATTTTTTTTTCTTCTAATCTCATTCTTTTTTAAAAAAGATAAGATTGATAAATCAATGAAAATATAAACAGTCACAACAATCTCGAGATTATCTTTACTCAACGTCTCATTGAACTCAGTCTTTGTTAATTTTTATAATTTGGAAAGGAATTCAATGTTCAGGACTGTTATATCCATGTAAAGAAAGAAATGGTTAAATACAAGTTAAATAACAAAAGTAATCACCAAAATGTATTGCTTATTTTTCTTTTTATAATAATAATGAGTTATATTCCTCAACTCATACCATACAAACATTTAAAAACAAATAATATATAACCCCATTTTATACCTAAAATTCCCGATTTTTTCAATTAAACATATCGAATTTTATTGCCAATTAAAACACAAGACAAAATCCATATTATTGAAAAAGAAAAGAAAAAACAAGATATTTAATACTGAAAATTCAAATGATTGGGATTGAGTACTCTTCAGACTCTGGACAAGATGATGTTGACAATATGACCGATATCGAAGACGTGGAAAAAGCTTTAGAAGAACTTGACAAGAACATCCTCGAACGATTTGGGTGTGAAAAAGGTATTGAAGAGTGGAGGAAGGCTGTCGACCACCTCTCGAGTTGTTTTGAGCGTAACGCGACGATGAAAACGCAGACGGAAATTGATGAAGATGACACATCGTTTATTTTTTCTCAACTTTCTTCTGAAGCATTCACCAAGTGTATGGACTTTATGAGACAGTGGACTTCTCTTGAGTGTGAAGAGAATGCGGTGTATGCGCTCCGGATGTTTCTAGGAGCGACATCGAGTCGGTCGCTTCAACTTGGTGACACCAAGATCGAAATCTGTTTGTGGGTGTTGAATCATTTCTCCGGACTCCAACGCGTCGCCAAAATATTTGCGATGGGCATCATTGGTAATGTCCTCAATCGCGAAGACTTGTTCGAGACCCCTCCCAAATTCATTGCGGAGGTCGTCGACATTTTTGTTGGAACAAATGGATTTACAATAGACGAGAAAGGGGAGTACACGTCGTTCATTTCGCCAATGACTCTTGCTATTAAAACTATTGACCCACAAAAGAAAGTCGTTATTTTTGATAAAGAAACAGACATTAAAACCCCAGACATCAACAACGAACTTTTGGACTTGATGGAAATGAAAACTAGTTTACTCTGCTTGCGGCGGATTGCTTTTAAACTCGACCAATTTTTCGGACCGACTGCTTTGCCGTTTTCCGATGACATTTTGAAGGCGGTTGATGAAATTGTGAGAGGGCACAATGTCGAGACAAATAAAGTTCATTTGATGGTACCAAACGAGTTCACAGATAAACAAGTGTTGTTCCAAGAAAGAATACAGAAGTGCTTTGTCATTCGAAACGACTACATTTACAGCGACGCAATGTTGCTGACGGGTATCATCATGTCGAACGAAGTAGGGTTCACCAAAGAATTGTTGAAAGGATTTCCAACAGTGGTGAGTGAGATGAGCGAGCAGAGACTGTTAGGTGTGATTAACTTATTCACGGGGTTCATCTATGACGATTCTACGTGTAAAACAGTTGTTTTCCAAAAAGTGAATTCTGTTCGAGACTTCCTTAAAGTGACGAGCTGCTTTTCCAATTTTGCGAAAGTGAAGCAAAAAGCGTTTTTGGGTGTGACGAAGGTGTTGTTGTCAACACCGATATATTTCAATATGTTATATGAAACAGATATTTTGTTCAACACAATTCGATACATTGCGATGAACTCATTTGAAAAGGATATTGTTGTTCCATCACTCAGTTTTTTAAGGGATGTCATCCATGCACCGCTTTTCAGACAATTTAGAGATTTACTGGGATATCCAAGCCAACCTTATCAATCTGTATACTCGGGGTCTCCCACAATGATCCAGGATTTGTACGTGAAGTTCATGTTTCAAATTCATCGAAAGATCTCGGGGATGGAGGAGAATGAAGTGATAAAGAAAATCGCGGAGAGAGGGGTGTTAAGTCAAATATGTGAGATCTGTTACAAACTTGATTTGAATAGCGACTACTATAAAGGGTTTGGTGGCGGGATGTTAGAAATCCTGTTTGACATAATACAGTACGTTTCCACCGTTCCAAGCTGTGTAAAATACATTTTGGCTGATTACCTGTTTTACAAAGAAGCGCGCGACGCGACTATGAGCGAAGTCCCAGATGAAGAAAAGTCCTTTCCAGCGTTAGTGAATGAGATGGGAATTCGAGAAGAAGACGCAAAAGCGCTTTTTGTGTTAAAAATGTATTTGGAAGATCATGGAATATCCTCCGAAATTCGGTTGTCCATTTTGAGAACGCTATTTCATTGTTTGAGTGTTGAGAATGCGAGTGGTGTTGATGTAGAAAACAAAATTAAAGCAAGTGGGTTGGTCATCAACATAATGAATGAATTGGAAGTTGATTACAACAATAAAGAGTCTGTAGACATTGTTTTGAATGCGACCGATTGTTTGATATTGATGGCAAAGAAAGATGAGAATGTGTTGAACATATTGAAGCCATTAAATATTAGCAACAAGTGCAACAAAATACTTAGCGATATCAATGAGCGACTGACATACAACTCTGGGTATAGTTTTAAGATGTTGGTTTCGTCGTTGCAAAGCATGGTAAAGTTCTTGAACTCGAATGACGGTGTTGAGAAAGAAAAGAACTACAGCCGCAATGTAAAAATGCTCAACCATATGATTATTGACTACGACGAGAAGGACGCTTTACAGTTGGTGTACGAGCATTTACTGAAAGAGGGTTTGGTAGACTCTGCGGCTTCTCTACGTAAAGAGGCCTCTTTGAAACAAGCCTCTTCCATGAACGAGGAAGGAAAAACGACGTTTGATGATGTGCTGAAAGGCTATTTGGCGCACAAACACTTACAATGCAAGCAGTGCCCTACAATAATTCCTCAACAAAAAGTTACAGAACAACACTTATGTGTTCAAAATAAAGACAAGTATCGAGAAGCTTCAATGAACCTTGCTTCTCGTATCCTTCAGCGAAAATGCTATGGGAGTTGTTTGGAAAATTATCGAGGGTATGACAAATCTGTTGCCTTTTCGACGGTATCTTTAAGAGAGTATATGCTAGACTCTGAAGAGGAAAACATACAAGTGAGTTGTGTGTCAACGTGTGATGAGGGGATGATGGTTGGCCTGAAGAACGGGTCGATAAGACTCTTTGGGTCGCGCGGGAATAGTCTCCAGAACGATTTGTACATTAATGAAGCGCAGCATGCTTTCTGTGAAATTAAAGTTGCTGGAGACTCTGTGTTTGCGTTGAACAACGACGGTAATTTAATGGCGTTTTCGAAAAACGACATCTTGGCAGTTACTACGATGCCAATAACTCCTGCAAATACAATAAGGAGTTACAGCTGTTTTGGTGTGAATGACGAGGGGAGTCTCTTGGCATGTTCTCCGTTCAATGAGAGGAAATTGGACATCTTCGACCCCGCAACAGTAGAAGTGGTGGACACGTACACCATCCCAGATATTGCCATAACGAGTCTTCCAGTGTTCTCGTCATGTTCGTCTCTTCTATTCTGTTCAAGAAGACTCTTCGATATGAGAATGAAACAAACGGTACACACTTTTGACTTCTTGTCACGATTCAATGGGGGGATGTTCACTTCTGATGGGCTCGACGTGTTGATAGATGCGGAGTTGTGGGATCTGAGGATGATGAAGTTGCGAAAAAGAAATGAGATGTTAAGTGGGACATACTCCCAAGTGATTGATGATGACGTTTTCATATCTTTTCCATACGACGAAAACGAAGAACGGATGGAAGACTCGCAGTCTTTTGGAGCGATATTTTCGGCGTTTGATATGGAGTGCAATTTCATTAGTCGAACCAATGTGGTCGATTTCTGTTTTGAGTACTCCAAGAATTTGGACACAGTCTACATCGAAGGGTGGCCTTCGGTGTACAAAGACAAGAAGCAAATTGCTCTGATCACCAAAATGGACCGACCAAAAATTCTGTTGTTTGAGTATGGAAAGAACAAGTCAACATTAGTTGGATCGCTTGAGACATCAGAAGAACGTTCTGAAAGTGAAGACACGAGCTTTTTTAACGAAGATGATGGTTTGTATTATATCATTATGACACTTTTTCTTATATAATGTAGTTAAGATATCAATTTCAATTAGTTTATTATAATTATGACTCAATAACAGTCTTTGATCCAAATAACCCATTTGAAATGGAATTGTACAACAGCGATGACGGTTTCATAGTTGAAGGTCCAACTGATGGAGAAGATATCAGTGTTAATGACGATGAAGAAGATGATTTTAGCACAAGCGAATTGATGGACGTGGATTCTGATGAAGACGAGAGTGGAAATGCAGAGAGCGTGCATCGTGATAGCCAAACTTCTACAATGGAACATTCGAGCGAAAAGAGTGAAAAGTAAATTTAATCTGATTGGTGTTATATGCTTTAGTTTTTATATACAATATCATAGTATCGTTCATCATGATGTTGTTTGAAAACAACGTTCTAAAACACTTCCAGTATATATAATTGTTACCAAATTACAGTTTTAAAAGTCGTATATTTGGATTAAATATAATAAGAATAAATAATATAATCTAATATGGATTCAACTACAATTCCTCAACAAACAAATAAAAGATTGAGGATATGTTTTCTTTAATTTTAAGTTTCTAAAACAAACACGATATTTTACATTGACAAAGTTCAATATTTTAATAGTTGCTTTGAATTGAATTAAATCAACACAGTGATGTTTCATTTTTAAAACAGGAAAAAAAATAGTTGAATCATGATTCGTGAAGTTTTGATAATTTTTATTTATCACATTGTAATGTCCCGATATATTTGAAGAAATAATGTCACTAATAATTACCAATTGTACAAACCATGATTGAACTATTAAAGTATTCGAGTATCTTATTTTCAAAACTTCAAAACTGTAAAGTAGTATAAAAAAGTTGATCAATAATTTCAAATAAAAGTTGTATGAGTCAGTTACCAGCATTGTATTTAATGAAGGTGTCTTTACATTTAAATACTAAAGATGTTGTTAAGAACTTTATTCAAGTGAATAAGAAGTGTAAAGAAACAGTTGAAAACCTTAAAGTGACTCCTTATTTTATAAATGATGTCAGTATAATATGGTTTGTTGCACATTTTAGTCCAGAAACTGTTGAGTGCAGAAACACGAGCGGCTTACCGCTTTCTTTACTCTCTCGAGTTAGTTGTATTCGACATCCAGACTTCACGGAGTTGCTCAAAAGAAACGAATTAAATGATACCAATTACACAGAAGTGTTCAACAAAGTTACTCGTCTTGTTTTGTACAATGAAGAAGACGATGACTTGTTTTCGAGAAACGTGACAATCATGATACAACACGCCAAAGACTTTTCAAAGTTGGAGTACATAGAAGGACCAATCGATATCGTCACTGAGTTCATGGAACAATTCACTGAGTATGGTAAGGAGAAGTACAACAAGATGCCCAAACGCATACTGTTGTTGTGGAAACGTGGAGAAGCGTTGATTTGGACGGAAGAAGTGTGCGGCTATATCACCAGAATAGAGAATTGTGTACCAAACAATGGGGAAGTTAAAGTGTTTTCTTTGTTCAAACAACACACACCAAATGAGGAGAGTCTCGCCATTTTCAAAATCACTCAATACTGTTACGTCTTTTTGGGAAATCAGTCGTGCAACACTTTCATTGAAAAAATAACACCACAAAGAGGAATTGTTAGTATCAAAAGTTCGAGTGGAACACGAAGCATTAACAAAGTCATAGAAAACTGTTATTCCAAAGAAGTCCGGTGGAGTGTAACAAATGACGATAAAGATGAAAGTGCTTACTGGGAAATACCGAAGTGTGTGGAGTCGCTTTGCATCTCCCCCACATCTCTGTTTTATCAAGCCAAAATGTTTCAGGTCAATATGGAACATCTGAAATATTTGACACTGAGACTGTGCAGAGGGGTCACCTTTTCAAGTGAAATGAAATGTCTCAAACAGATTGTGATGGATCGATGTATGAATGTTACTATCAAAGAATGTTCAATGAAAAGTGTTGAAGAAGTGTTTTTGGACTCTTGCAATTGTGTTAGTGTTGAAAGAACGTTAACCAATGTCACTCGAATGATTTTGAATGGATGTGAAACAATCAAAATGGAAACTAAAATGAAAAGTATTCATTACATCTCTTTAAAAAGTTGTACATTAGTAGAATTGCCACATTTGGTTTTGAACCGTACAACGCATGTGATACTTGATTCTTACAAAGATATTACTTTCTTCGAACAAAGTCCGTTTGACCAACACATTTTGGAAGAGTCAAAAACTTCAAATCGAACACTACTTGTATTTCCACAACAACAAATTGAAAAGGGAGAGGTGTTCAACATGCGTCCATTTATTCCGTGTTCATTGGGAATTGGCATTGAAAAAGACCAAATTGTGAAATTTGAAAATATGAAGAGTCAATTGTACGAAGTTCTTTTGTCCAATTACTTTTACAACCAAGAGACGATGAAAGATCCAATACTCAAACAAATAAACCAAACCAGTATCCTTAGATATTTTGAAGTCGAAGTAGTTGGGCATAGTTGGGTGTCCATCGGGTGCGTCGATTCGTTAAGATATAACAAAACAAACGCGATGCTAGGGTGGTTCCAAAGCTCCATCGGTTATCACTCCGATGATGGACACATTTTCTATGAAAGTGGACAACCGTGCAATGCAATAGCAAAACCATATGGTAATGTAGTGGGTGAAGTGGATGTAGTTGGGTGTGGATATGATGTGAAAAAGCAAAGAGTGTTTTTCACGTTAAATGGCAATTTAATTGCAGGGTTTCGAGTGTATTGGAAAAACATCAGTGCAGGAATTGCAGTTGCTGATGTAGGCAAAATCACCGTGAACTACGGAGCAAAGCCTTTTGTGTACAACACAACTGAACACAAGTTATAAAAGGCAAATATTATCAATTAATTATTTGTAGTGTTTTTTAGTGTTACAATATATAGTAATTAATTATAATAGTTTAATATGTTTTAGTATTGATTGTGACATGTTTTAACATTTTACAAAAAGTGCATTTGCCGGGACTCGAACCCGGATCTCCACCTTGGAAGGGTGGAATTCTGCCCTTAGACCACAAATGCTAGTTATTAATCGATATGAAAACGATGTAATAAATAGAAACTATTCATTTTTTATTACAAAATGGAATAGTCTAATAAAACTTGTCTGAACAAAGTTAATTAAAAATGTGTTCATTAAAAGTATGTAATCTATTTCTTCTTATTATAACAACAATCCAACAACAAGCGTACGAGTGAATTATGGGAAAAATTGAGACGTATGCCTTACCATTGTTTCTACATTTTGTGGAAGTCTGTCGAACGTCAGTGTCAATGGCAATCTTGTGTTCAATCCTTCGTTCCCATCTAAGTAAGCATAAATAGTCATATCACCACTATCATCTAGCTCTATTTTGACAATGAACCCAACGACTCCTTGTGGCTTCTTAGGGATCCCTTTGATTTGTGTCTCTCCAATGTACTTCATTTGCATGCCGTCAACAAACTTCTCTGGTCCTTTATATACTTTAAACACAGCTTCTGTCTGTCCATCGTACTGTGTTGAATAACGTTTGACTGCAGTGCATGGGAGTGTCATGTCTTCGGTAATGAACGGGTCCATCTTCCCGCCTTTCACCTCGAATCCAATTGGCTCATCCACGTGTTCCTTCACAACCACAAGTGATTGTGTTTTTGAAAACGCCAAATAAGTTGCTCCTTTGACAACAGCCTTCATCCCATCAAATTGAGGGACAACGACATTTGCATTAAACATTTTGACAATCAACGACTTGATCTTTGGAATTTGACATGACCCACCAACCAACAAAGTGTGTTTAACACCACTTGTAAACCCAAACTTGCCTAAAATCTTCTTGACTGTATAATCAAATTTCTCAAAAAGTTCTTTGCAGGCGCTTTCGAAATCCTGACGCGTCATAATGGGTTGCATGACTTCATTGTCTTCCACTACCTTTTTCCCAACTATAAACTCCATTCTCACTTCTGATTGATCAGAAGTCGACAACTCGATTTTAACGCGTTCGGTCTCTTGTCGCAATCTCAACATCAGTCGTTTGTACTCTTCTTTTTGTCTTGTAGTCATTCCTTTCTTTTTCTTGAAGTAATCTTCAAGAGCAGGGTTTTGTAAATAAATCTTCTCGATAATAGCATTCATAAAACAGATATCAAAATTGTTTCCTCCTAAGTCCGGATCACCTTTGGATTTACACTCTACAGTCCCTTCTGTCGCATCATACGTGCAACATGAAACATCTAATGTTCCTCCACCGAAGTCGATCACGACCATTTTAGAACCATGTGTGGGCTTCGTTCGACAGGTGCGAATGTAATCGACTATCGCAGCAGACGGCTCAACATAAAACTCAACTTTCTTTAAGCCCGCTATCATTGCCGCAGAACGGACCGCACCAATTTGTGCTTGTTCAAACCCAGCAGGGTGGGTGATGACTACATGTTCAATATCTTCGAGCTTACAAGACGTGTATTCCATAAACTTATTCAAAAGGCCTCTAATGATAATCGCAAATATTTCTTCGGGGTAAAAAGACTCTTCGGAGTCTGTGTCTGGGTTCATAGTGATGATTTTGATGGAACCGTCTTTTTCTGGTTCCACTCCAAATGGCCAATTCTTCTTATCTTCATATTTGACATCTGAAAGTTTTCGGCCTATCATCCGCTTAGAGTCGAAAATTAAGTACTGGGTTTCAGTATCTTTCTTTGCAGAATAACCAACTAAAGATACCCCTTTCGATTTAAACTGAGACAAGCTCACCCATGAGGGTGAGCTTGTATTATTTTGTTCCACATTCTCTACAGGTATTACAACAACTTCAGTTTGTGCCATGTCATAGTAACCGATCGATGAAAATGTTGTTCCAATATCAATGCCAATACTATATTTTTTGGCTTCCATTCTACTTATTTTTTACAGTTCTTTCTTGGAATAAATTGTATAAAAAACAATGATTAAATTGAATACTAAAACACCTGTTTTATATACTTGAAAAAGACTGTAGTTTATGTCATTTTTTACTTCATTGTTTAAATGATTTTTAATTAATTGATTCTATACAAGACATATAAAAAAATTAAAAAAAGTTGTTTTATTTGAATTAAATAAATCATTTTAAATACTATAAATAATATAATTGTTTTAAATATATCAGTTAATGCTTCAATTATTAATAAAAATTAGATAGACGCGTTATTTATCAATGTATTTTTTTATAATAAAAATTTAATTAAATTTATTAATATTATTATAATGATTATTCAATTTTTAAGTTTTTTCTAATCCAATTTTTCAACTTTTTTTATTAAACCATTATTCTATGTTTAAACAATTATTAGTTTAAAATTAATTATAATTTTTAAAAAAACAATTTAAACATCAAATTGAGTCAAACTACTGAATTACCAAACCCATTTGTTTCTCCTCTTCTTTTTTTCCGTTGCAGCAGCCCCTTTCTTTCTTTCTTTCTTTGTCATGTATATCGAATGATCAAATTTTGAATTCTTTCTTGATATTGATTTCATTTATGTATTTTTATATCAATGCTTTTCAACTCTCATTTTCGGGATAATACCATTTCACAGATTCTATGCGTGGTGCAACGTGGTTGTTATTTTTAGTTATCAAATACAGTCAAAGTGTATTATAGTTATAAAATACAAGTGTTAATAAAAATATAGTTTTATGATTTCAAAATCGATGAACGAAATGACAACTTTATGAAAGCATCTTTCAATCACACTCTCTTAAAACTGGTATTTAAACTTCAACTTGATAATTCTGTATGATTCCCAAGAAATGGTCGCATGATTTTTGGGAGACTTTTCCTCTCTTTTTCAATGTATCAAACGTCTTCTCTAATATTTTGCGTCTTTTCTCCCATTCGACTTGCATTTTTTTCTCAAAGTCATATTCGAACTCTTGTTGTAAAAAAGTCCAGCCCCCATACACTTCCTTAATTCTCACTTGAAATGTAGTTGTGTCGATTTTCCCATTCAGATAGTTCTCCCCTATTTCATCCAACTGTTTCCGACGCTCTGTATATTGCTCTGGATTGTTTGATAGGACTTCGATGATTGAATCAATGGTGTCGACAAGATTCCCTTTCCTCCAAACTGCTTCTCTTTTTTTGGCAAAATTTCCGTTATCCAAGACAGGATGAGTTATGGGTGTTGGACTGAGAACTTTGAAACTAAAAGATTGAGCTTGGCGAATCGTTGTGATTTCAAGGAGATAAAATTTAGTAACTAAAAGGTGGATTTTCAGTTCTCGTGTTTTTCCTTTTCTACTAAAGAAAACTACACCATGGTGTTTTATAAGTAAGGCATCAATTTGTAAAACGCATGATTGTGGTAATCGGTATTGGTGCGTATTCAAAAAGCTGTATATTCCGACATTATCATCACCCATTAATTATTTTTTTGATTTTTATAATTTTCACTATTATTAAATGATGTTTAATATTTGTAGTAATTATTAGTATTGAATACAGTCATAACAAAAAGGTGTCTTTTTCGAAAAAACCTGTCTTGAAAAAACGAATAAATTAATTGGTATTTTTCATCAAAATGTTATTATTATGTTATATATAACAAAAATGAATAACAAAAATGAATAACAAAAGGGAATAACAAAAAATGAGTTAATTTGCTTTTCGGGGTCGACCTCTTGGGTTTTTTGGTTTCTTTTCTAATATTGATTTTTCTTCAGGAGTCTTGTTCTTACTGCCTTTTTTCCTTCCTCTTGTAGATTTGGGTTTGGGGGGTTCGGGCTTCAAATACAAACGTATTTTAGACAGACTTTCTTGGTTGATTTGTTCGTCGACTTCGCAGTCTAACAACAATTGTACTTCGTCGTCGATGTTTAGATCGTTTGTTTGATGAGTCTGTTTTTTTCGCAGTTCATAGACTTTAATAGCTGTTATAGAAACCCTAGGAGTTGGAAGGTCTTCATATTTAAACCTTCTTTTTAGTTTTATTGGAGTTATTGAACTAAAAAATGAAACAAAATTCAGATCCTTGAAAAGGAGAGGGAATTCTTCCCTCAATCTTTTACACTTGAAGGGATCAACTTGACAAAAGTACTCTTTCTTTTCCGAGTCGTATTTGAATGTTATACCCGCACCCTTAAAAGCCGAAGAGCACGATACAATTGAAGTCGACTTGTGGAAGGCGGTCAGTATCTCAATTTGGTACTTTTCAAATCGATTCACTTTCACTTCACTTTCCTCTTTTTCCCAATTTTCATTCATCCATTCCTCGCCATCAATTCCTTCACCTTTGTCTTTCTTTTCATTTCCTCCAAGAGAATCATGCATATCCTCTTTGTCCTCTTTGTCCTCTACAACCTGAGCATTTCGGATAATACCTTTTTGAACCGCAAACACCCCAATGTCCAAAGGTTGAAGAACATGGGATGCGTGCGGAACAAGAGGCACCAAAATGATGTTGTGGACCTCAAGCACTTTCCTTAGCTCTTCAACATCATGGCAAGAACACGAATCAATAAGCAAAACAGCTTTTTCATAAATACCAACTCCGAGTTCCATTCGTTTCTCGTAAATTTTCGGGATAAACACGGAAAAGACCCAATCCATAAAAATTGATTTGTTTATGAATCCGGTCTCTGTTTTTGTTAAAAGTACATGGCCAATAAGCCCAGAATTAACAAGCGTTTGAGTACAAGTTGAGGTCGGAGTGATTAGAATTCCTGGAATTGGTCCTTCTCCGCTGATACAAGCGAGAAAGGTGCTTCTTCTGACATTACGTTGAACTCCAACTTTCAGCACTTTGATATCATCTTTATTCCACAAGACTTTGAGCTTTTTGCGGTCAGCCCATTTTTGATATCCAGATTCGTCTAGATTGAAACAAAGGCACCTCCTGACACCCGATACAGTCTTCGAAAGACCAATAAAATAATCAACAAAACTCTGTGTTGGTATCTCAAGGCGTTTTGTTTCGTCAGGGAATGCCCACCTCAAAATGAATCCCTACTTCTTGAGTATATACAAAATTGCCTCGCGTTTAAAACATTCTCCAAATTGTTTCTCCAAGAAGAATTGTAAGTACTGTACTGTTACCGCCTGCTCCCTTTCAATACAACCAGACACTTCCAACAATAACGCCTTCTTCTGTTCCTCGTTTAAAAGGGGTGGTCGCCCATTTTTCCGAGGTCCGTACTCCATTTCCAACTCCATTCGCATTAACTGCGTGGAGATTGTCGCACCACTTACTCCAAACACTTTCCCCAAATCATCATTTGTAATTCGGTCCCAAGGGACTGATGAAGTCAGTGACTTCATTAAGTATATTTGTCCTCTCCGGTCAATTCCCTCCATTTTCCCTCCCAAAAATGCATAGTCAATGAACTGACTCATAAGAGAGTCTTTCTCACACCTTAGTTTCATGTCATCCTTTTTCTCTCCATCTCTTCTGACGTTGTTCATGCTCATTTTATTTGTGAGTTCTTTTTAGTTCCACTCACCTTATTTCATTTTTAACGGAATTGTAAAAAATTATTATTGAAGAAAATCAATTGAAACGGATAAAATTATCCGATAAAAGGATGAAAATCAAATATTTTATTCGGGTTTAATCTTAGTACATTTCTAGTTTTTTTATTATATTTTTTTACTATAATAATCTTCGCGACAGGTTTTTCGTGTTACTGTATACAGGGTCCTCCTTTTTTAAAAAACCAGCCACCACGTTTCACCACATCAACAAAAAATGACACGTGTTAATAGAATGTAATTTTTATTTTTTTTTAAAACAATTTATTATTCCAGGACAACTTTTGCTTTTAGGCAAAAAAAACTTCAACTGTTTTAAAATCCTTTTTTTACAATCATAAACTACTTAATTATTATCAATATAATATAAAACTAAAATAACAACACAATTTATTATTTATTAAAAATTTATTTAATAATTATAATTTTTAAATAACAATACAACTAATTGAGAATTCGCTTACTCTTTTTGTTAATGTTTGATGACTTGAACGTACCTTTTCAAGTACTTCAACGCCATACTGCTTAACCGAGTCAGCACATAGAGATATAATATCTTTTAACATGTGATATTTTGATACTATGTTATTGGCAGCAAACAACATTGCCAATTCATTTGTGAGTTTTCTTCCTCCATCAACTAAACTTTTATCACAACTTTTTAGTGTGTGGTTGTGGTGTTACAATTCCGAATGATTTGTAGTGACCGGCTTATTGACCCACATTGTATGCATTTTCAACTATTTTTCTAACTTCCACATTTTGACGTTCATGGTGTGTCACGTAATGTTCGGAAGCATCATTTTTTGTTTGGGAAATACCCACAAACTTTTTCAACAAAATAATCTTTTGCCTTTGTCGAGTACTTCAGTTAGCCTTTCATCCCATATAGTTTTTTTCATCTCAATTGGGACATTTAGTGTGAACATGTTGTTATTAAAAAGTTCAAAATAACAATTTGGGTTTTAATTATATTTTACAATTAAAAAATTAACGTTATCAAATTGTATCTATAATATAGTTGTATATATTATAACATATTAAGAAGTGTTTGGGAGAAATAGATGTATTTGGTAAAAAAAAGCATATTTTGTTTTTTCTTGTATATTTTTATTTTGAAGTGCTCTTTTTATTATTTTTTTACCTCTTTATAATTAGAAATAAATCATGCCACTTATATTTAGAAAGGAGGACCCTGACTGTATAACATTATTATTATTTATATTTATATTTATTTTAAAAACCTTTAATTATATTTTATAATATTTATTTTACTATATTTTAAATTTATTTTTAATTTTAACTTAAATAATGCTTATTATAAAGGCAAACAAAAAAAATCTTTTCAAGAATTGTTTTGTATTGAAAAAGAAAACCCCCGCTATCTTCATTTTTTAACGTCAAATCGTTATGTCAAAATTTGTCAAAAATAGGAAATCTTTGACACTCACAAATTAGTTTTGACATCGACTTCACTTTCTCTATAAACCTCTCAATTCACTGAGATCAGAATTGATTCGCCGGTATGGGGCACTTTCTTTCACTTTCTATTTTAGTGTTAATAGTAGAAGGGATTTTAACTATTCTACCTCTCAACAAGGACATAATACTTACGACCAACACCTTACTCATTCTCAACACAGCCGCAGATGAACTTACGGAAAAGTACAATTTCTCACATTGTATAATGTCTCTATCTTCAATCTTCATTGTGTATTCGACTTTTGTCTACTTCGAACCAAAAGAGATTTCAACGACTTCAATAATTAGTGTTGTGTATTTATTGATCTCCATGTACACGTTATCAATAATGGAGTCAGGCTATATACTCAGTCTTACTCTCTTTGCATTGACGGAGTGGTTCTTGTATTGTTTTTCAAAGAAAGAGTCTCGTGCAATACCTCTTTGTCTTACCATCGAGAATCTGATATTTGTCGTGTTGGACTTAGTCTCCACTCAAGTCACCAACGTCGCAAGTTTTATCGGAACGACCTTCTTAATCTTTGAACTAATTAGTATAGGAACATGTTTTATTCTTGCTCAACGTCGAATCGCTCCAAACCAGAAATCACCAATTTCGTTACTCTTTGGGTTAGTCGGTGTGTTTCAAATACAATGCGTCAATGTTGTGTTCATCACACTCAACGCAATGTTGTTCTTAGGAACCTATATGGTTAATAACCAGACGTTAGAGTTGGTTCATATCATAGTTAATTATTCGTTCACAATTTTCTTCGTCTCTTTTGTGAAGTATTTCAGTGGTGATTCCTTTGATAATGATGTCAAGCTTGCTGCACTTGGAAATGGAAGGTAATTGATTATTATTATTATTATTATTATTATTATATAATATATAATATATAATATCCCACAAAGACACACATCACAGAAAATAAAAAATAAATTCTAGTAACAATAGTAAATAGTATTATAAATTATAGTTTGTGATATACTGGTGTTACCCAAATAACTTGAAGAGGTTGAAGGCAGACATCACGGAAAACGACAAGACAAGAACATAAGAGCCGATGAGAACGAATGAATACTTCTTGGTAAGTTTTCCTTTGAGAGTAATGATCAGAAGAGTGATCAAAAGTTGTATAATTAAATACATAAGAGAGAAAAATATGGTGTCTGTCATAACAACGTTTTGACTCTGTGGGAAGTTTCTTATCGAACGAGCTAAGACACCACTGCCAAGTCCAATCAATAAGTTGAAACACGGTCCACCATAGGACGCAATAATACCCATCTCTGAATATCCTTGTGAACTCACAACTACGTTGGATACAAAATCGCCTATTGAATTTCCCCAACACAAAACAGTTAATCCAAGAAGCGATGAGTCGACACGCATTGCAACACCAATGGACTGTAATAATGATACCAATTCACTTGCAAATATGTAGATATATAATACACTAATAACAAAACCATATATATTAGTAATCATCACAGGTATATCCGTTTTTGTGTAATGTAAAACAATAACAAATCCAGCAGATATAATGAATGGTATAATAAGAAACTTGAGAGGAAGACCAAACACCACACAGAACGGTAATGGAGAAAACACATATGATATTAAAAGTACCTTTTTATCATCAGATATATGTGGTGTCGTGTACTCCATCACAACTTGAAACGGAATTGAGATGATCAATAGGAACTTGTTAAAGTAATTGGCAACGGCGATTTGTTCGATGATATTTTGTCTTTGAGGAATGACTGTTCTATCGCTTTCATTGACTAAATTAAACTTCCCCTTTTCTTCATCATTATTTCTGTCAGTGGTTTGAATAAGTTCTTTGGCTACTCCACTGTTTTCATCTTCAGAGTCTATAAATCGAGACTCTGAATCAAGTTGCTCGGAAACTTTAATAAGTGGCTTTCCTCGTGTGATATATCCAATAAAGATGACGTAAAGTAGATATATTAGAATGAATACAATTGAGTGTATAAGACCTACACTTCCTAATGAACATATTAAGAAGACAAACAATAATGAAACTATGTAACAACTGATATTATGGATTAACGTCTCTGGCATCTGTATATTGTCGTTCACTAATACTATTGAGGCGACAACAACACAACTCACAAAACACCCGGACCCAATCACTTCAGCAGTTGCTAAGTGGAAATCTCCCGTGTTGAAAATAGCAACAAACGTACTAAATACATCGGGTGCGCCATTTCCGATAGCAAGTATAGTGATCCCAGCAAGGTCTGCACTCATTGACAAGTGTTTACTTAAGAGAGTTAATATCGGGACAAAGTGGTCAGCGGAAGATATCGAAAGTAAATAAAAGATGACCACAATACCCAATACCATGAAAGCCAGTATGGGATAAAACCAATTGTGGCAATATAACAATTCTAAATAATTTATTAAGACGGGAATATCCCCACACTCACTCCTAATATATCCACATTGATCATTTGATGGGATGACACACTTCGCTGTCACTGTAGTCAAGAAAAGGAGAATAGTAAAAGGGGACATCTGCAATACCATATTATTAAAGTTCTTTTTTAAAGTTATTTTTTTGTGACAATGTCGCATCATTTCTTTCTTTCCCATTAATTTAACGGTTTTATTTTTTTTATTAATCAGATTTTTACTTAACAAAATAACTTTGTTTTTAATTGACAAATTTTGATTTGATTATGGTGATTTTTGCAGAATAATAATAACATTTTAATAATATAAAGTATCATTAGTATATAATACATTTTTTAATAAAAAAAATGAGGTATTTCCATTAAAATTATTTAAATTTGGGAAATATTTTTTTGGTATAAAAAAAATCACGGGGTATTTTTAGGGTTTATATTTTAAACCCTTTTACTGTTATAGACACAGTAGATGAATATTGCACAAGGTATAGTAACTGCATGTGACTTAATAGCGACAGGAAACACAGAGAACCTCAGAACTGCGACTCAACTTTTCAACGAAATGGAGAAACAGCCAACGTTTCCAATAACGTGTTTGGAGGTTTTAACGTCTCAAGCTGTAGACTCTGTCAAAGTCCAAACTGCGATCCAATTTAAACGTCACATGAAAGCACATTTCACTCAAATTTCACCGAACAACAGAGCTGTATATAAAGAGGCGATGATGAAAGTCATACTTCAAAGTCCCTTACCAATACAAAGGCAGATCTCTGATGTATTTTCTGTAGTGTTTTTCGATGAATTTCCTGTCAAGTGTCAAGATGTTTTGCGCATGATAACAATCTTTTTCCAAGATGTTAACGTTATTCAGAACGAAAATGCATTTATGGGGCTCATGATGATACTCAATAAGTTGACGAAGATGTGTAGATGTCCATGTAAACAAACGAAAGATATGACTGCGTACTTTGCGACATTGTATCCAGTCTATTTCAAAATCTTGGAAGCATCTGTTAATAACAAAGTGTACAAATACACACGAGTCTTGCTCAAGACTTTTCGGTACGTCACATTCACTGAAATACCCGCATTTTTCACAGCAGAGAAAGTTAAAGAATTCTTCACCGTCACGTTCAACATGTTCTCTTGGAATATCGAATTTAACACCGACGACCATCCTCAGTGCAAAGCATTTGTGCAACTGTTACGAATCATCTCTCAGTTCGTGAATAACTCAACTGGAAAAAAAGAGGGTTCGACTCAAGCCTCAAAGTACTTTTGTACGCAAATCTGTGGAAAATATCTTGAAAAGGTGGTCTTGTTTACACGAATGCAAACACCTGAGGAACTCACGTTTTATATCCTCAATTTTTTCAGTCACTCGCTTAAGCTTAGTAATTTAAATAAATTTATTGTGGGCGTCTTTCCAGAGGTCTTTGAGAAATTGGTGTTTGCGAATGTGTTGATGCCCGAGACGGAAATTATAGAAATGAAAGAGGATCCAATCAACTTTTTGAGGGGAGAGGAGGAAGACTTGCAATATGGAATTGACGCCAGAGTGGGTGCTATGAACTTTGTGAGGTCGTCAATGCAGTTTAGGGCGAAGCTCTTCTTGCCAATGTATATTGAAGGCCTCAAATTTTTGATTCCAATGAACGCAGAGACCATGAAAAAGGATACCAGAGCAATTGATGCAGCGTGTTTTATAGTCCAAAAGATACTTCCATCATTTGTGATCGACCAGGTGTATATGAATTACATTCCCCTAATATTTTCAATAAGTGTTCCACTTTTGTTACAAAGCAACGACGTCTTGTTAATAAGGAGAGGGTGTCTTCTCTTATCTGACACTTTCAATGTGTTAAATTTGAATTGCAATGACGTATTACCAGAGTACATAGTGAAGGATGTTCAATTGGTTTTTGGACTTCTATCAAGCGAGAATGTGCTTTTAAGAGTCTACGCAGCGACTACAATTGGCAATTTTGTTTCATACAAAACACTAAATGAAAGTTTTGCAACGATTTTACCACAACTATTTGGTGTTTTACTCCAAACATTAAAAGTCTATGAATGTGAAGGTATATTGGAAACAATATCAATTCTCATCGAAAAGTTTAAAACACAGACTGTTCCACTCTCTGCAGAGTTAGCGAAGGGGATATATGAGACTATTATTGGAATAGAAAATAAATATGATGCTATGGAAGACGAGAAACGTTCGACTATCAGTTTCTCTGTATCATCTGCAGTCAATTCACTCAATAAAATCATTAAATTGAATGCGGAAGCCAACCCTCAATTTGCACTGCAATTGGGTAACACTTTTCTCACATATATAGACAGGGTTTTTGGTCTTCAAAGCCAATTTGCACATGACACATTCGAAGACTTCATTTCACTCTTGTGCGAACTTGTGATCGACTCCCCTACTCCATTCCCAGAGAATTTGATCACAGTGTTTGTTAAGTTATTATCCAATGAGAAGTTACTTGATGTGGATGGAACTGCACTGGACGCGACAGAACCAATAGTAACAACAGTTGCAGCAAAGCAGCCTGAACTGTTTGCTATAGATCAGGTCATGCTATCTTTTGAAAAGTTGGTAGTTTCAGCATTACAAATAGAAGACATGGAACACCTTTCTGTGCTCCGGATGTCGCAGTCTGTGTTACTCTGTTGTGAGGGAATGGCAAACAAATTCATCGAGTTTGTAATTCCAGTCGTTGTCAACTTTATTAATTTGGACGAGTCTGCTGTATTACAATCTGTTAATACCATCATGTTTTGCTTCTTTAATAACCCAAGACTCACTTTTGCGTGTTTGATTAAAATGAGTGCGCTCGAGCACTTCTTCAATATTTGGACGTATTATATTCCAAAGCAACTTCCAATGATCAGCGATAAGAAGATTAATATTATTGGGATGTCGAGTATGTTAACTATCCCACTCGATGATTTGCCGCCTTTAGTCAAAGACAACTTAGTTGCGTTTTACACGTCGATAACCGTGTTGTTACAACTTGCACAGAACCAAAAAATTGCAATTGAAAATTACAAACAGAAGAGTGACGAGCGGATTAGCCGCATAGTGAATGACAGTGGAATCCACAATTTGGCGGATGATGAGGATTTGGTTGTTGACGACCATTACAACGACGACGAGCCAGACATCTTTGAAAAGAATGAATATGAAGGAGAAGACATTGTTGATGATGAAGATGAAGTCATACCACTGAACGAGAGGAAGTTCTTTTATAATTGTGTCCAACGAGTGACTGAAGGCGATTTAAAGGATCAACGACACATCAATGCAATCGCGTCTCTTCAGCCAGAACTCAAGAATGTCATTCAGGCTGTTTTTATCGAGCAGACACAACCTTCCCATAATTGATTTTATTTATTCCATCGTCGTATCTATCATATACACAACTGCAATGATGCACAATCTCATAATTGCTATATTTTAAAGATCCACTCAAAACGTCAAAAGGTATTAACCCTGAAATAACCTATTTTTTTCTTGATAAAATGAACCATTCAACTTCTTAATAATTAATTATATAAAAGCTATAAATGAATTTCAATTGAAAAATATAAAACTGGCGAACTTTTTAAAACCCTAAAGATGTTGATTCTCCATGAGACCCCAGCTGGATACGCTGTGTTCAAAGTGACCGACGAAGATGTTCTGAACATCGCGTCAGACGAGGAATATAATGAGGCATTAAAAAAGACAGACCCGTCGAATGTAGTGTCGCTGGACTATTTGTTAAAGTTCGAGAAAGCAGAACAGGCTGTCGACGAGTGCCAAGCGGTCAACGACGGTGTGATGACCCCATTGCTCCACAAATTCTTAAAGGCGACAGTCATGAAGACGGACAATAAGGAGATGATAGTCATCGACTCGAACTTGTCGCAGTCGATTAGAAACAAATTGAAGCTTGAGACGCCAAATGCCGCTTACACTTTACGACTGGACAGACTTATTAGAGAAAACATCGAGAAGCTGATGCCCGAGATTTCATCGAACGAAATGCACTCGATGGAAATGGGTCTCTCTCACCACTGGTCATCATTTAAGATCAAATTCTCACCAGATAAAATCGATACTATGGTGATTCAGGCTGTCTCATTGCTTGATGATTTGGATAAGGAAATCAATAACTACGGTATGAGAATCCGAGAGTGGTACGGATGGCACTTCCCTGAGCTCTCCAAGTTTGTCGCCGACCAGTTGTCGTATTGTGAACTTGTTGTTAAAATTGGGATGCGAGTGAATGCGAAGGAAGTTGATATGAAGGAATATGTTGATCCCGTTGTAGAAGAAGAGATTAAGAATGCCAGTGTGACATCTATGGGTTCTGAGATCTCAGATGAGGATTTGGAAAACATCAAAGAATTGTGCAATCAAACGATTGATATCATTCACTATAGAGAACAATTGAACGACTATTTGACTCAAAGAATGAAAGCTATTGCCCCGAATTTGACAACTTTACTTGGTGAGATGGTAGGTGCTCGACTCATTGCACACACTGGATCGTTAATCAATTTGGCTAAAGCACCAGGAAGCACTATCCAAATTCTCGGAGCAGAAAAGGCTTTATTCAGAGCTATTAAGTCAAAGAAGAAAACCCCAAAGTATGGACTCATCTATCACGCGACGTTAATCGGACAAGCTCCAGCTAAATCAAAAGGTAAGATCTCTAGAGTCTTGTCATCAAAGGCCGCGTTGTGCGCGAGAGTCGACGCGTTGTCGGACAGCGTACAAACTTCAATGGGTGAGAAGGGAAGAGAACTGGTTGAAGAAAGACTCAGAGCAGCGGAGAGCAAGGCCGCGGGGATCGCACAACCACAAATTGGGAAGTTCGCAAGAAAGCAAGATAATGTCGTTGCGTCGACAAAGGTATTTAACACGACTAATGATATTAAGTTGAAAGAAGACAAAAAGCCACAAATCAAGGAAGAAGATTCATCAAGTGAGGAAGTGATTAAACAAAAGGTTAAAACTGAGAAGATGTCGGAATCATCGTCATCAGATTCTTCTGAATCTTCAGATTCGTCAAGTGAAGAAGAAAAACCTAAGAAAATGGAAATAGAAAAACCAAAGAAAGTGTCGGAAGATGAGAGCTCAAGCGAATCATCTTCGTCAGATTCTGAATCATCTTCAAGTGAGGCCGGAAAGAGAAAGAAAAAGAGCACAAAGGGTAAAGAGGAAAAAAGAAGAAATTGAATGGGTTTTTGAATAACATTTTTATTTCAATTGCGAGAAAAGTGAAAACAGCAATTATACCATTAATAGTTTTTTTTATTATGATTAAACTACAAATAACCACGAAGATGAAAGATTTGCAATCTGCGAAAGTCAGAATGAGAAGGTTTGAAGTGAGTGAAAAAGAGAGTGAACCGTTCCTGCAAACACTTTTGAAAGAGAGTGCACCGTGTTTTCTCGTCCAAATTCCAAAGTTGTATTTAAAAGACGGTCTTTCATTGTATGGAATATTTGATGGGAGTAAAGAGATTGAACTTAAAGTCTTCAAAGCAATCAAACAGGGCATTTACCCATCGAAACATCCCCTTGATATCGCTATTTTACCCGATTTAGATGTGTTTGGCGAGGCTATGTTAGTCATGTTCGCGGAAATCCATCGCAGATATGTCATGACTGAAGAAGGTCTCCAAGACGTCTACGGGATATGGGAGCTCCGCGGATTTGGTCATTGCGACAACCCGTCATGTAATGTTTGTTTTTACTGTACTATATTTTATAATACAGTTTATGATAAAAATACGAATGAGATAATCTTTGAAAAGAAACTTACAAACAGGACTTTGGTCTTATTCCGAAGGGAAGCCTAGATGAAAAAGAGTTAAGTGTAGTTTGTGGGAAGTGCGGGAAGGTAGTACAATTGAAGGAGTACAAATACTCTTTTTTTCCTGCAATGTACGATGACTTCTTTTTCTTCAAATACAGCCACTTGATACCTTTGTCTGCTAAGACACAGAATTATCAACACAAAATATACGGGTTTGTCGTTGCTCCCCGTGAGATGGAAGACATCGTTGTGGCAAGGAGGTACGCCGTGAAACTCACCCCACGCACCATTTGCAAAAAAAAGGATTGATCAATTTTTACTATATATTAATAGTTATTTAGTTATAAACAACTTGTTTGATAGCAATTCTTCGATTGAATTGGAGTAAATTAAAAAGATAGATTAAAACTGAGAAAAGAAGTTGATGGCGACAAGGGAAGAGTTAAAGAAAGTCGTTGCGAAGGGGATTGTCAAGAGAAGCGAGTTGGTCAAAACACCGTCACTTTTGTTGTGCGATGAGTTACTTGAAATTGCCATGGAAGTGAAAAGAATAGGTCTGTCGCTCACGCATCGCCACGGCATCTTGTTGGGTGAAGAACTGTCGATACGAGTGGCGTATGAAAGGATGGCTTTAGAAGAGAATGACGTGGATGAAACTCGGGTGAGTGAATTAGAAAGAAGATTAAGTACTGCGGTTAAAGAAGCCGAGTTTTTAGGAGACATCGACTTACTCTTGAGACTTTACCAAACACAATTTGACTTTTACTCGCAATGCAATGATTTGATGAATATGATTGAGACGATGTATAAAGCAAATTCGGTCTATCGCGATTCTACAAAGACGGTGAAATTGGTCGAGCTCTTCTTCAAGTACATAAGAATACTTAACTCAATTAGACCAAAAGAAGACCAAGAGAAGATGATTGGAGACAAAATGACCGACGCGAATTGTCGATGTATGATCGAATTACAATCATTGAGACAAAACAACGACTTCAATTATCAAGAATTTGTCAATAAGAATTTCAACATGATGTATCAGGTGTTCACCTACATTGCTGTGATGTTCACCGACCACTTGATTTACGACTTGGATTCAGAAGAACAAAAAATTGGAAAAACGGCATTTGAATTAGCCTTGGAAGTCGCAACAATGGTCAACGAGGCTGACCTTATTTGTGCGTGTTGGGGCCACCGAGTCAACGCGTACTTTGGAAGGTCGAGCGAGAAAGAAAAAGAGGAGATGATTAAGCACTTGAAATTCCTCAAAGAGAAGTATAAGCCCAAAGATACTACCATCGACGAAACGCTTCAAGCCATCGATACGGGCAAGCACATCCGATTGAAAAACTCTGATATTGGTGTTGAAGAGGATTTAGACCACGAGTCTACCATTAAGTGAGTTTTACTATTACTTACTAATTTTTTAATTATTAAGTAATAACAATTATTCCTTAAAAAGGCACCCAAAGAGAGACACAAAAGACTTGGAAAAGAGGCTAAAACAACTCCACACGAAATTACGATTATCCATTTTGAAAGCGATTAATTGTCAGCAGCGCCTTCCTTATTACCACCACGAATAAGACCGGTTCTTCTAGCAGCGACTTTACCACACTTCTGGCCTGGTGGGGATGATCTCTTAATTGTAGTTGGGTGTCCGACGTGTTGATGGTTTCCTCCTCCGTGCGGATGTTCGACTGGGTTCATAGCTACACCTCTAACTCTTGGCCAGCAGGTTCTCTTTGCCTTGTACATGTGATAAGCGACACCAGCCTTCAAAATTGGCTTCTCAGTTCTTCCACCACCGGCGATGAGACCGATCATAGCTCTGCAAGCACTCTTCAAAGTCTTTTTAGCACCCGATGGGAGTCTAACACGGGTGGTTTGAGTCTCAGCACTGTGTGAGATGACAGTGGCGTAGTTTCCAGAGGCTCTAGCCAAGTGTCCTCTGTCTCCTGGTTTTAATTCGACGTTGCAGACGACGGTACCTTCTGGGCATTGTCCGATTGGCAAGACGTTTCCGACATGGAGGGAAGCCTTAGCACCACAGTAGATGTACTGACCACTGTAGATACCTTCAGCGCAGATGAAAAGTTCTTTGTCGACACCATATTGGCGTGGGTTTCTGAATACAACTCTGGCGAGTGGAGCACCTCTTCCCGGGTCATGCTTGACCTCTTGAACTAATCCACGAACAGTGCTGTGGCGCTCGAAGAAGTCGATGGCACGATGTTGAGCAACTCCCAACTTGTGGTGGCTGCGAGACTTGAAAATTGAACCTCTTCCCTTTCTCTGTGACAGTGTTCTTCTTCCCATTCAGGTGTGGAATGGTTTACTAAAACCTAATTTTCAAAGTTCGGACTGTATTATTACTTTACCTTATTCAATTATTACCAACAGACATCCACCTTGCCCTAATAACCCCATCTTACTAGTATTTATAATTATTTTTACTAATGAGTATAGTTATTTGGGTTTTTAAAATCAATAAACTATTTTTTTAGTTCAATCACTTTTTTAATTTTATTATTCTTTATTGTTATTTTTATAATAAATTTATTATTATTTTGTTGATACATTTTATTATTAAAATAAGTAATATAACGCATTAAAACATATTTCCCTTATATCGGAGCACCTTACTACCACTTTTACTCAACACTTTAACTACCTGTGCTTATTGATTGTTGTGTTTATTGTTCTTTATTCCATGAAATTAAATGTGATTGGAATTTATTTATGATGAATTTTAAGATGGAATTCGTCAGATGTGCAAAACAATGAAGAAACCTCAATGTGCCATAAATAGAAACAGTCGTAACAATATAAACTATACATTACCAATAAAAAACCATATGAATTACAAGAGAACAACTTTTTTCAACACATCAAAAGACTAGAAGACCGAATAGTATTTTTCTTGGACAAAAGAAACTCGAAATCATAAAGCGGATGAACAATATCACTAAAATCTGTGTTTTGGTCGATTGGAGTCAGGCGTTTGTAGACACAGACGGGAGTTTTTATGGTGGCGAGACGGAACAGGAGATCGACAAAGCGTGTCAACTAGTAGACATGTGTGAACGCGTCATATACTTTACTGACGTCCACAGTGCTTATTGTTCCGAGTTCACGACTAATGGTGGAGTATACCCTGTCCACAATTTAGTAGACAAAGATTTGAGGATCATCAAGAGTTTGTTACTTCTTATTAACACATTCAACTGTTTGCGTAATGAGCAAGACTGACAGAGAGCAAATGCAAGTGCGCGTCTGACAAAACGAATACAAGAGCACGTCAATAAGAAGAACCTCCGATGTGGTATTGTTATACCGAACAACGTGATCTATCAGACGGAGAATGACGCTTTAGACATCGACGATATATTAAAAACCTTTGATAATCCTCAACGAATTATAACGCCAAGAGACTATAACTATGAGTATATCATTAGTTGTAAACACTTTTTCAATGGGACTGGATTACAAGTCCTTCCTCGTGGAAATCCAGAAGAAGAATTCACAGGTGCGACACTCTATCAATTCCAATTCGGGGCCGGAGAAAACGTCGAGTTTTATTTGACTGGTGTTGTCACTGGGATATGTGTACTTCACACGGCTGCTGGTCTCAGACAGATGTTTCCCAAAGCTAAAATCGTGATTGTCAAAGACGCTTGCCATCCACTCTTAGGAAGGCAGTTTGGCATTGTCGACGAAACGCAGAGCGACATGATCATGAGTGCTCTATGCACACAGATCAACGTCTTATATCGTGGGATTGACAAAGTCACTAATTTATGATTTCGACTTTATCAATTTTTTTAATTTCGACTTTCTCAATTTTTGAACAGAAATGGGTTCCAGTGTTTTTGTACCAAATGAAACACAAAAACAAATGTTATTGGATTAGTTCGTTGCAGACTCAAATTGTGCAGCCGCGACACTAACTGCTGCTTTTGTCCCTTGTTCGACAGCAACTTTTCTGACCTTTCTCTTCAATATAGACCTCGACCCTCTCGCGCACATGATGAACCCAACAAGATTCATCGAATTCATGATGAAACAGACTATGGAAAGGCCAAGGTAATTGATTTTTAACCCAACAAAATTCAAAAAGCAAAACCCAAACCAAATGAGTGGGGCCGCCATTAAAGTGACCCAAAAGATCATCATTTCGATATAGGAAAGTCGGACCTTCTGACTATCCTCTAACGCCTCAAATATCCATTTTGATGACCCATCTTCAAGTACTTTATTCCACCAACGGAGACCGACAAGAAGTCTGCCGTTCACGTTTTTGGTCAACCAGAAGTCAATGGAACCAAGGAGCAAACAAATTGAAAACGCGATGACAAAGTACCCCGACACGAAGAAGAAAAAGCAGACAAATACGATCATCACAATTAACTTAAGAGCTAAGTGTAATGTCGCGATGATGGGGTGATGACTTTTCTTTTCAATGACCTGATTGCTCTCTGCAGTCTGTTCCTCCTTCGTCGTAGCGACGATTTTTGTAGCGTCTTGGAAGTCCATTATTTCTCTGAAAATCAAGTTCCATCTCTTTTATATCCGTCTTGTGAAGAATCTACTTTTTTAGTCATATTAAAAGTCGGATGGATTCGCCACACTCGTATTGTAAGGTCTGCACCCTTCATGAGGCAAAGTACAGATGCCCTAAATGTCTCATTCCTTTGTTTGTTATTGTGTACACATATTAGTATTCTTTGTTATGTCTGTAATGAACAAACTAATGCATAGCTGCTCCGTCCCATGCTTCAAAAAGCATAAGGAACATTGTAAAGAGGTTGTGATGAAGCCAAATCCACCGGAGGAAAAGAAGAAAGAGGAGCGTAAAAAGACAAATCTCCTCTCACAGGTCATGAAACAACAAATCCGTTTGTAATCTATATCATTAATAATGGTAATAGTAAAAATGGTATTACAATTTTGATAGTAAATAGTCTATTACATTATAGTAAAATGGAACAACACTAACGCGCAGTTGAAGACCAGAGAGTCGGGAAAATGCTTGAAAGAAAGAGAACATGGGAATTGCTGAAGATAGTGAAAGAAGAAGGTGTTGATACTCTTAAATCAATGATGTACGGAGACACAGAAGACGATGTCATATTTCAGAATTTTGCAATGAGAGTTCTACAGGCTGTTGGGCTCAGGGATGAGAACTTTTCGTGTGTGTTATAATCAAAGTAAAAGAAGTGGCAATGCTAGTAATTTAATATACTAATATAAACTAGAAGTTTTAATACAGTCTTTTAATTTTAAGAAAACTAATCGACATAATAATTTTATTAGAATAAAATAGTTAAACCATAAGACTTAGAAAGGATTATTAAAATACGAGCAAGACGAGTAAAGTCAATATGGTAAGAGACATCATCCCCATGACACCATTTCCAATAAGAACACATCCTTGTAAGTCTTTGACATCATCCCAAATTGTAACACCTTCATTAACACTCGTACTGTAAGAAGTAAGTGTTCCAGTAACTACATAATTCACATCTTGTTGGCCTTCATCATCACCATTAATACCACAGAGAGTATCAAATAATATTTTAAAGTGCCCATTCTCTACACCCCAATCCTTTCCCCAACTGTTTCTGACCCACAAGTATTTAATCCCGTCGCATTCTCCATATCCATCAACAACTATCATGTGGTCAGTCACTTGATTCATACAGGCAGAGGACGTGTAGATACCCCCAGTATAATACGATAAATCATCTTCTGCTTTTATCCCCGAGACAAATCCTTTGTTGTTGTAGATAATCTCTTTGAGCTGTGACCAACTTTTCCCATGGAAAGTAGTGTATGACGTTTTCATGGGAGATTTGGCTTCTTGTGTGTCGCAAGAAAACTGTTTCCCATTTTCAGTAAATAGGTATTGATAGTCTCTTGAATAGTCTGATGCTATCTGTGGATATGTCGTTCCATCAAGGACATCGTCAGATAGGCCACCTTCGCACCCAGTCCATTTTTTAGAACAGTCGATGAGTTGTTGCGCGGACATTTCTTGGCGTTTTATAGCCCCATTTTGTTCAGTCAAATACGCGTATAATGTGGTGTACTGTTGAGCAACGGAGACGGCGTAACACGACCCGCAAAGGCCCTGATCGATATTAATATTAGCACAATAATTCACGTCCGACTCTGAACCACAAGAAGCATAAGAATCTGGTATTGATGCAAGTTTTGATGTATTTTTGGGTTGGTACTTTGGAAGGTCTTTTTTAAAATACGACTTTTGAGCCTTCATCTTAAGTGTTTTGGCGAATGGAAGATGAATTTCCTCTGACGTTTTGTCTGCAAAGATGTTGATACCCATGGTGTAGCCTTTGTTTGCTGCATTGTGTTTTCGGAACTTAGCAAGATTGGCTTTGAAAATCTGAAAACGGAATTCTTCTTCTACAGGAGTCTCATATTTCCTTGAAAATTGAGACTTAAATTCTGAAAATAAGACCATGTCGTCTTTAGAAAGGTCAAATGAAACAGCCAACGACGCTGTGATCAAGAAAAGAACCAGAAGCATATGACTTTTTGAGTCAATCGATCTTTATAAATCATATTTTTTTTCAACAGTATTATTTATAGAATTTGTCGATATTTGAAAAGAATGGAAAAAAAAACAATTTTTTTATACGAATTTTTACACAGATTTTTAAATTGAAATTTAAAATCTCTATGGTGTTTTTTGGTTTTCAACTCATTTTCCTACCATAATCAGAATAGTTCATTTTGATGTGTTGAATATTCAGCAAATATCCCGTTTTTTAGAATATTTTTGTCAAATCTATTGAAAAAAATCAATTGGAAAAAAAATTTGCAATTTTTATATTTTGGTTTTCTTATACAAAATAATTAAAAAGTTTTGTTTTAATTGTTTTTTTTACACCAACTATTTATATTGATTAAAAGTAGTCAATCCTTTAAAAACAATTTCACATCTATTATTTTTTTTGAGTATTTTTGTTATTATTCAAATAATTGAAATAATTAATATTATATAATAAATACAAATAAATTCTTTTTAATATAATAACAAATTTTAAACAATTAATTGTTTTATAATTTACTTCAATTAAATTATAAATTATAATATGTATTATTGTAATTTAGTTAAAAAATATATAATTTATTATATTAATTTCTTTTTAATTTGTTATAGTATCTACATATAATAAACTTATAAAATCAAAATTAAATTAATTTATTAATAAACACATTCAATTTTTTTCCTTTCACTTTCAATTTGGCTATTTTGTTTTTTTGACTTTTTCAATTTTTTGGTTGTATTTGTTTAAGTTGTTCTTTTTGATTATTTCGACTTTATTATTTTCACATTTTTTTGGTTTTGTTGTATCGACTTTGTTGACTTTTTCTCTTCTTACAAATCGAAGTATTGGTCTGACGTCTCTTCCGTCATCTTCATATTCATAAACTCCCTTTACTTTGTCATCACTCAAAACTACTTTCCCGATGTAAGAGCTTTCCGAGTCACTTACATCCGACGAGAGATCCTCATCCAATTGAATGATAGGTCGAGTCGAAACCATAAAAGTTGAATATATTTTAATGATATCGCAATACTTTGCCCTTGTATTTAAAAGCTCCAGCTCTCTTTTCAAATATGAAAGAACCATTTGTTCGTATATCTCAATTTTCCTTTCCATTTTATTTCCTTTTTACTATTCTTTTCAAGTTTGTTCTTCCCATCACAAAAGGGGGAGAGAAATGAAAGAACTAAATCTCTAAATTAACACAAAACTTATAATTCTAATAATTATTCTAATAAGAATTCTAATAATTAATAATCGAAATACACACCTATGAGAAGTTGACAGCATCTTTTAGTGTTGTCACATGTCCTTTCGCGTCATCAACTGTAATGCTCAAACAACACGCAGTTTCATAAATCGGGAAATATCCGATGATGAGGGTGTCGGTGTTCTTCTCGAGGTCTTCAATTGTCGTGTCTCCAATAGTGACAATCGCATTAGTCCCAAATCCG